AAAAACGGACGGCTCGTAAAGTTTAAAACAAATAAAGATGTGAACCACAGTAGCAGTAGAGAGTTATAAAATTCGACCGTTTAAATCTCGTGCCTTAGTCAGTCTTCGGCAAATGGGCTATAACTTTTCGTATTTTCTTATCTGGTGATTCAAAGGTTGTAAACATATAGTTTGTTAACTCCTCCATTTACGACCTTTTGACTTCTATGACCTCCACCAGCCTGGCAAGGGTGGAACAATTCAATTTGTAGGCGGGAGCGACCCGTTTAATTTGTTGGTGATTAAGATTATATTCGGCGTAGAGGACCAACATTTTCTGACTCACGAATTTATTATGGTGAAGCTAAAAAGGAAAACACTTCGATCTTTAGACATTTTTATGGATGTCCTTCCTCCGACTCATTTTAACTTCCATAACCACTGCAATTATTACAACATTAGATGGTATAGTTGCGTCATATTGTGAAAATATATTTAATTAATTATTCTTGTTCGTCTAATCACAATTTAAAATTAAAATTAAGATAATTAAAATATCATGTGATGTTCCTATCGAAACATTCGAATAATTAATTAAATATTACAGCATTGTTAAATATGCAACATATATATATGAACGTCACAGCTATAGGATATTTTATATTCGTCCAGCTGATGCCTGCAACATCCTTTTCGTTTCATGTTCCCAGCCTCTACTTAATTCTGTTTCCTGATTTATTTATGATGTTTAAAGTTCTTCTCTCTGCTTTCTCTCTTATATTTGTTTTAGCTCCTGTGTCTTATTTATATTTTCGGTGAGATTATATGAGTGAGCCAGCGAGCGGAAGTGACGTAACTGGGTGAAGGCGGGAACTTGGATTTGACCTCAGAGTAATTTTAGCGCCAGAACTCATTTTACCAAACTTCTCCGACATCTGGTAGGAGAGACGAGATGCAGATTATGTTGTTTTTTTCGAATCCAGTACACACCATTCAGCATGGTGTGCATTGGTGGTTAGCAGGATTCACGACCCATCAGTACATGGGTTCGATCGGGACCGCGACATTTAACACTCCTTCTGTGACCCCCTTTTCGCGAGAGTGGAGTAATTGTTGGGATACCACGGAGAAACCGGAGAA